GCTCCCAGATGCCCAACAAAACATTCTCTTCCTAAAGACCCTTCCTCTTCTTTCCAAATATCTTTAATTATTTTTATTGTAATTGTATTGTGTTAAAAACAGTTAACATGAGATCTACCCTCTTCGATTTTTCAGTGTATACTGCTACATTTTTAACTCTAGGCACAATATTGTACAGCAGGTTTCTGGAAGTTGGTTCACCTTGATCACTGAAATTCCATACACATTGATTAGCACCTCATCATTTCTCTCCCCCTCCTCTTGGCCTGTGGTCACCAGGCTTCTGCTCTCCTTGGAGTCAGAGAAGACCGGGAGGCTGCTAGCCTGTTCAGCAGTGTTGGCTCAGGTTGGCAAGGGCTGTGTGGAGCCCCGACATTCACAGTCAGCACAAGAGTGGTCAGAAGCAGTGTTTAATATCCCCAGTTATTGCTACAAAAAGCCCTTTTAGCACCATCCTACGCAGCTTAATGCAAGTCCACAGTGTGATATGGTTGTCTGTTAGCTACATGCTGTACCAATACTGAACTGCTAATAACCACCAACGCTCTTCTCTCTGCCCAGCTTACAGCATATGCCGAAATGCTTTTTCCTTTAAGAGGAGTGCAAGAAAGCAGAGACTACTTCTGGACTGGGTGTCATCAGGAAGGCTAGGGGTGATTGGATCTTGGTCCTTTTTATCTAGGAGTGGGGAGGATTAAAATGGGCTCTAGCCCCCCACTGTTAAATTATGGGGCTCAAATCCAACTCCTGTAATAGCCTCTCCTGGTTCCCTCTTCCCTACATGCCCTATGGTTCCTCTGATGTGCACTTTCTCACGTGGCAACAAGCTGAATAAACTAACCTTGTTTGATTCAGGTGTGTTCCTGATGATCTTTGGCTGAAGGATGGACAGGGAGACACTGTTATTGTGATATATTGACTGGAGAGTCTCTCCTCTTCTCAGACATCAATGTGCCTACGAATCACCCGAGGATCTAGTTTAACTACAGATTTGGACTCAGTAGAACGGGGATGGTGTCCAAGGTTCTGCAGCCCTAACAAGCCCCAGTGACACCCATCCTGCTGATCTGAGGTGCACACTTTGAGTAGCAAGACTCTGGTCCCCTGGCTAATAAATAAATAGGCTGTCCATTTAAATCGCATGGAGAGCTTCAAAAACACTGAAGCTTGGGTCTCGCCCCTTAGGGATGATTCTGTTATGAAGCAAAGCCTGAGAAAAAAGGTCTACTATTCTCTGATGGAGAGTAGAAAGCATTTGAAGAGTTAAATGAGCAGTTTCAAGGGGAACTGTGCAGGTGAGCCAGGTTTCTGTGAAGACAGAGAGACAAAACAAGGGGAGAAAACATGCAGAATGGGGAAGTAGTTGGCATTCTTAGGATCACAAGAACAAGTAAGGTGAGCCAAGAACAGTGGAGCACTAAGTAAGTTTATAGGTCTAGGGCAGTGATGGCGAACCTATGACACAGGAGTCAGAGGTGACACGAGAACTCATTTTTTGGTTGATTTTTTCTTTGTTAAATGGCATTTAAATATATAAAATAAATATCAAAAATATAAATCTTTGTTTTACTATGATTGCAAATATCAAAAAATTTCTATATGTGACACGGCACCAGAGTTAAGTTAGGGTTTTTCAAAATGATGACAAGCTGGTCTAGGGCTAGTTTAGAGTGTGTTTACACCATTCTATGTTACCTTGATAACAGGGCTCTTACTCCCTTGTGATAATAATAATATAATAAGGAATTTACTTGTGAGTTAAGCAAACAGTAATTAGAGACAAACTTCTAACAGTCTAGTCAGCTCCACATGGAGACAGGTCTGGGAGGACAATGAAGGTTTTGAACCATAGAAAAGAATGAAGACATCAAAGGGAAGAACATATATTATGTATGAAGGCGCACGGGAGTCTGTGTTCTTCAAGAGCTTCTGGGTTCTGCTGACCTACAGTTTCTCCCACTTCCTCAGGTCAAATCAGTATCTGTAATAAATTATGTAGTTGCATGTCTTGTCTTTCTACTCTTCAGTTAACAGCCCTGGAAAGCAACAGGCATGTGCCTACCCTCTGGTGCCCTGCGTAAGTCTGCTTCTTGGCTTACTGCCTCAGTCTAAACCCTCACCCAAGGTGATGGGCTTGACGAGAGTAGGGACTTGAATCAGAAATCAATAGAACTATTATGAAATATAGTGATGAATTCCCATTGCCACATACCCTAAGATGGCTATACCTACTCACACAAGTGCCCAGCGACTGGAGGCAGTTTCACCACCAGAAGAACCTCTGAAGGTTGACTGCTTTTTCTTGCACATACCTCTGCAGAAACCCCCAAGGTCAATTTATCTCTCCAGGAGTCTGTATTTTGAATCAGACCATCCCCAAACATACACTCCAATTTTGGTAAAGATCTGTCCTCTGCTGAGCCAGATAAGTGAACTGATACAAGTACGTGGAGAACATTGTTATGTTTAATATCACATTCTGAGAGGTATCGACAGTAGCATTCACCCTACCTTCTTCCCTGTCCCTTTCCTGGGACCTAGCCGGTCTTAAGCTTGTGTTTTATCCTTATGCAAAGCAACAAACAAGGAGACAGTCTCCTTCCAACATCCAAGGCTCTCACTTGCTCTCACAGTAGAGCAGAATTCAGCTAAATAATTTGCCAGAAATTCCACCATGTATGGGAAATTAAAGGTGACATATTTACTCTTTAACATTGCTCTGTTCTCCAATTCTTATCTTCTCCACTGACTATGTGTATAATCTCAAGAATAACTCCCATAACACAAAGATCACAGGAGTCAAGAGTGAGGCTTATTGGTCTTGATGGTGTTACCTGGCATTCATCCGGACTACAAGGCCAGCCTCCTGGGGAGGCACAGGTCCTGGCTGCCTCCGGGTTCAAATCCTAGAGCAGCCAGGCCTCAGCTCCCTCTGGTTGATCGCTTCAATTTCATTCTTTAGCGGCCGTCCCTTAATCACGTGAAAGCTCACATTGGTGCTGTGTCCTTTATTGTGAAATAAACGTCTGAGCCTGTGTTTTGATTCCCGACTGAGGAAAGGGAGACAGATGGGCAGGTGGAGATAGGTGGCGGATTCGGAAGAATGGCTTCCCTCTCACTAACCACACAGCTCAAGATGCTACTCCGTGCTCCATGCACCTGTTACCTTCTCTTTCCCCAGGTTCCCCCACCCCCATTCCTAGACAGGTGAGAAGCAAGCAAGCAGAGGGGCCAGCAGGCTCCCTAGGCAGGATGGCACCCGAGGCTTGCCTGAGGGCAGAGTTGTGACAGATGCCAGGATCCTCCCAGCCCTCCCAAAGGCAATGGTTCAGAGCACGCCGATTCCTTCTTCCTTCCTCTCATCAATCTTCATTGCTTGTAGTTAATAGAAAGGGGAAAAGCCTCGGGAGCATAATCAGAAGTGAACGTCTCATCAGCATCCACTCCTTGGCTCCCCACTGTGCCCTTGCTCCTCTCTGCTCTCACCTTGCTCACTTCCCACAAATTCCCTTCCAGAGGGAACCACTAAAAAAGCATAGTTGTGAAACAACGTTTTATGTGTTGTTCCAGATCAAATGCTGTCTCCGAGTGGGGAAAGCATTTCCAGGCATAGAAATAAAGAGAACGTAAAGCAAAAGATTGATGGGCTTGGTCACATAAAAATTTTAAATGTTTATGCAGCAAAAGCTGCCAAAAGCAAGATCTGAAAGGCATAAACTAGAAGGAAATGGAAACACCTTCCAGACAACGGGTCATGATGCCTAATACAGACATAAAATGCTCTTTCATGGGAGAAGGAGCTGCATATGCCAGTAGGAAAATTGGCAAAATGTGAAAACCTGATGAACAAAAAATAAAATGTACATGGACAATGAAAATATTCAGAGTTCAACTTATGTGCCAATCAAAGACAGGGACTTTCAACACCAGTGCCATTCTAGCCCATCATATAATCAATTACTTGATGATAGGATTTAGTATTCCTTAAGACATGAGAAAGTGGATATTTACATGCTGTTGGTGGGAATGTGAACTGCTGCATTCTTTTTAATAGGAAATACTCCAATGTGCATCAAAATCCTTAAAAATCTATATCGTTTGTTTTCCTAATTCTACTTATAAGAATTTATTGTGAGGAAATAATCAGAGGTATAAACAATTATTTATTAAAGATGTTATTAACATGATTATTTATAAAGAAGAGAAACAACTTAGAGGTGTAAGAGCCGAAATCTTAAACACAAATATGATGAAATAGCTAGAGCAAGGAACATTTGTCATCCATTAAAATGTGTGTTTTAATAGAATAGCTAATGACATGGATAAATATTCATATTATGAATATGAGTTAAAAAGTTATAAACAATAAGGACCATAAACTAATTTTTGTCTGTTTATTTGAATGTGTGTGCGCATGTGTGTGTGTGTGTGTGTGTGTGTGTGTGTCCCTAGAACGCTTGACACAGACCCAGTGGTGGTGTTCCAGGAGTGGTCTGGCATTTCTCCTATATTCCCCAATCTATAATGAATATGCATTTCTTTTACAAATGTTATTAGAAAAATAAATAGTATTTTTAATAATTATGTCTTTAATTTATCATGATGCCATCCTCCATTGTATTCTGCAACAGATTATTCAATCCTTTTATTGCATTCATTTCAAAATGCCCACATAGATACTGCGACCCCGGAGGAAGAGCATAATTCTGCTTGATTAACTCAGAAAATACTACGTCCACCGCACAGGGTCACACAAGCAGACAACTCTTGGAATCATGTTTGGAGCAGTTGTCAGCTTTCAGAAAGTGAACATGCTCCACACTGCCCTGAATATCCAAATTAAGGCCTATAAATAACCATTGTAAAGATCTCAAATATATTTGGAACATCACCATTTAAAATCAAGCTACAGCTATAAAGCTTTTAATATATGGCAAAGTAAAGAAAATAATTGCAAGACTTAAAAAGCACATTGAATTCTATAGGAAAAACATACCCACCGCAACTGAATTGTGATGCACTGTGTTTCTTCCTCTTCATCTGGAATTCTTTGCCTGGAACTTTCAGATTTAAATTGGTTTAGAAAAGAGGCCCTCCACCTCCACCTGGTCAGGAGAGGTGCTGTGGACAGGAGGAGGGTCTAAGCAGCATGTGGCCAGGTTCAGGTGGGGCAATTTCCTTTATCATGATCCAACTGAAAAATAAAAACTGTAATTCTACGTCTGGTAATAGTACATTTTCTACGTGGAATTCTCCATTAGATGTCATTTAGGATTTTAGTCTCCCAATCGGTCTAATGTAGTCTCAGTTTCCTCTTCTTCTCCACTCCTTTGAGAAATGGCAGTACCTGGGCAGGATGCCTTTTCTGATGAGCTGCTTCTTTCCAAAGGTTCCCCCAAATGTGTTCATACTGGTGGGGTTTACCTTTCTCTCCCAGAGCCTTCACTAAACCACCTTCCTGCTTTTGGTGTTTATCATTTTAACGAAGAACCTTGGAGAGCTCTAGTCAAAACACATGCCCTGTTAACAACTTTTTATAAAAGCTAATACCAATTCACTGATCCTTTGATATTTAAAGACTAGAGGCCCGGTGCACAGATTCGTGCACCAGTGGGGTCCTTTGGGCTGGTCTGTGGGGGATCAGGCTGAAACCAGCTCTCCAACATCCCCCCAGGGGTCCTGGATTGCGACAGGGTGCAGGCCAGACTGAGGCACTCCACTGGTGCACGATCGGGGCTGGGGAGGGACCCCAGGAGGGCTCCAGGGCATGTCTGGCCCGTCTCGCCCAGTCCCAATGAGCCAGACCCCAGCAGCAAGCTGATCAACCAGTCAGAGCATATGCCCCCTGCTTGTCAGTGCACATAGTAGTGATTGGTTGAGCAGTCGAACAGTTGTACACCCAACATATTAGACTTTTATTATATAGGTTATTTCACAAGGGAAGATTCTTTGAGCCATTTCTAAAACTGGTATAAGAGCTCTGATTTTTGTCTCACATTGACAATAATAAAGTTAATTTAGTCTAGTCATCTCCCTGGGACTGAATTTCTTTATTTGAAAAATAAGAGATGTAGATGTGTGTGTGTGTGTGTGTTGTTCATTCATTATATCAAATATAATCTAGGAGAATATGTATCAAAATGTTAGCAGTGGGTCCTAGCTGGTTTTGCTCAGTGGATAGAGCATTGGCCTGCAGACTGAAAGGTCCCAGGTTGGATTCTGGTTAAGGTCACCTGCCCAGGTTGTTGGCTTAATCCCCAGTGAGGAGCATGCATGAGGCAACCGATCAGTGATTCTCTCTCATCATTGATGTTTCTATCTCTCTGTCTCTCTACCTTCCTCTTTGAAATCAATAAAAATATATTTTTAAAAAATATTAGCGGTGGTCACTCTGGGCAGAGAGGATGGGGGATTTTAAAAAATATTCTTCTCACAAATACATAAAATGTTTAAGAAACTAAATAATAACAAAAAACCCTCTAATTTTGTATATTCTATATTAGATCATAAGCCCTTTAAGTTATTAATAAGGATTCAATATAGTCATTTAAAAATAACAAAAACATTGGTTTACCTAGAAGGTGTTAAAGATCTATAATAGTTGGTATACAGTTTTTATTTTTTAGGAACAATACAATATTATAATTGGGAGTATAAATTAATTCCTACATATGCAGGTAAGAGTTCTGAATAGTACCCAACCAGTGTTGCTCAGTGGTTAAGCATCAACCTACGAACCAGGATGTCATGGTTCAATTTCCAGTTGAGGCACATGCCTGGGTTGCAGGCTCAATCCTCAGTGTGAGGTGTGCAGGAAGCAGCCAATCAATGATTCTCTTGTTTCTATCTCTCTCCCCCTCTTCCTTCCTCTCTGAAATCAATAAAAAAAATATTTTTAAAAAAGAGTTCTAAATGCCGAAACCGGTTTGGCTCAGTGGATAGAGCGTCGGCCTGCGGACTGAAGGGTCCCAGGTTCGATTCCGGTCAAGGGCATGTACCTGGGTTGCAGGCAGATCCCCAGTGGGGGGTGTGCAGGAGGCAGCTGATCGATGCTTCTCTCTCATCAATGTTTCTAACTCTCTATCTCTCTCCCTTCCTCTCTGTAAAAAATCAATAAAATATATATTTAAAAAAGAGTTCTAAATATTGAATACAAAAATAAAAAAATATCCCAGCTGGCATGGCTCAGGGGTTGAGCATTGACCTATGAACCATGAGGTCATAGTTTGATTTTCAGTCAAGGCACATGCCCGGGTTGCGGCGGGCTTGGTCCCCAGTGTGGGGCATGCAGGAGGTAGCCAATCAATGATTCTCTCTCATTGTTGATGTTTCTAGCTCTCTCTCCCTCTCACTTCCTCTTTGAAATCAATAAAAATATATTTTTAAAAAAACTATGTAAGTGGGCTATACTTTTTTAAAAATAGTTATGTACATTGGCCAGGAAAAAAAAATGACACAGAAAAAAATATCTTTTTTCTTCTCTTTTTTGTCTTCTTGCTATTCCTGGTATAAGTCTACAAAAAATAATCTCAAAACATATTCCAAAAAAAGAAAGAATATGTTGGGCATTTTGTATTATTTGAGTTTAAGGGGATTTGATAAATCTCACTCCTTTTTTGTGGTAAGTTATGAAGCAATTTAAAACTAAGACAAAGTAATAAGACAAATAGATAAGCAAAACCTACCACTATTGATGATAAGGATGATATTGGGTAATGTAACCTATGTCAAGTATAAGCAACTTTCTAATGACGAATCCCAAAACTAGGCTCACTCACACCGAAGCCATGGCAGGACTCTCGGCCCCCAGGCCTGGCCCACAAGGACAAGGTCTCCCTGTTAAGCTAACTCATGGCAGCAAACGAAGGAGAACATTCCAGCTCCCAGAGGAAAGGGAGATGAAGCAGTCAGTGTACAAGCAATCTCCACCTTGTTCTAAACTTTCTACTCAGGTACATTTAATGGGAGGAGTGAGATGGCAGGGGAGAGAAGTCAGGAATATTACACAAGAAATAGCATAGTGGGAACTGAAAAGTGTCTCCTGCCAATCAAAGCAAGGAATATCTTTGCTTAGTTCTCTCATGCCATTGATGATTAAAACATTCCATGTCCACGAATTTCCCATCTTGTTGAATCTTTCTCATTTAATAACCCAAATACGTGTTTGGGGGATTGTTCTAAAATGTGTTTCACCCTCTCCTGACTTCTTAAATGGAGTTGAGCAAGTGTGATGGTGAATCCTTCTCTCCTGAATCCAAACTCTCTTCAGCATCTGCCCCTACACTGGGGCTCCGGTGTACTTCAGCCAGTGGCTCTCCGAACCATGGGGGAGGCTTAGCTGTCCTGGTGGATGGGATGAGCCAGTGGAGACACTTCAAAGTCATCTGTACCTAGAGCCTAGAGCATTATTCAAAACCAGGTGTCCTAAGCCAATGCCTTAGGGCCCAATCGGCCTGGCCTGTTTCCTCATTTCTGTTTCCTTTGCAGAAAACAAATCCAGTCCAAAACTGGGCACAGACTAATATAACCAATTAAAAGAAGAGAAAAGAGTAAAAGACAATTTCCCTCTCACAAAATTATGTCCTCAATAAAGTTGCCTTCTCCGGAGGGGGCGAGGGGGGGGGCACATATCATTTTACTCCTCCAGCCAGGAATCTCATACCCATGGACCTAGAAAGCAAAAGAGGTAACTCTTCTGTTCCCTAGGGGATTTTCTCTCCTTTTCCTTATTTTTGGTCTATGTTGCCTCCAGTGTTGCCCTTGTTACTGACCAGGATCCTGCCCCACTCTGGGAATGAGAGAAATAGGAAAAGGGGCAGAATGTCGCCTTGATGTTATTTCAAGACCATTGTTAAAAACATCTACAATGCCAGTGGGTTATTTATGCTAAGTGGCATGTACAGTGAGGCCTCATGATAATATTGGGGCAAATATTTAAATCCAGACAGACCTGGAATCAAATTCCTGCTCCACAGATTACTTATCGATGTGATCAAATTAATTCACTTCCTTTAAGCTTTTTCCTCTTTCACAACACAGCAAATAATACCTCCATTCTGGCACTGTTTTGACGGTGAAATGACATGGCTGCTTGGAGCATCCAATAGAACACTTAGCATAGTACCTTGCTCCCTTTCCTGTTACTTTCAATGGTTATTGAAATAAACTGGCTGCCTCCCTCTGCATGTAACACCTTCAGTAATAGCAGGTTTTCCATTCGTGCCTTCTCTCTGTTGTCAGGTGTTACTTCTTGCTGCTGCTGTGTGTTCCCTCGGCTTCTAACCAGCTGCTCCACTTCCTGCAGCATTTTTAACTGATGGCCAAGGGTCCCTCAGCTCTGTTCTTGGAATCAAGTTCACAGGCTTTGTGACAGCTCATTGCTTTGTAGTAAATGTTTGTCAGATCTGTGCTGCCTTTTGAACACCTCTCCTGTGTTTCATTCATCCTACCACTGGGCCAGTTGCTAAGGTAGTCTGTCAATTACCAACCAGCCCTTCTATATTCTGTTTTCTGATGCAGAACTGGGACTCTCTAACCAAGTCTCTGCTTTGCCAGCTGCGCCCTGTTGGGTTCTGCCAGCAGAGGCTAGAGGGAGCCTGCAAGGCTTGAGGAGTGACAAGGAACACTTCCGCCCGGTGGGACTCCTGCTCTGATTAGCCTCCCTCAAGCAACACTTCCTCACCTGGCAGTACCACTTCATTCTGGTAGTGACTGTTGGTCTCAGTTTTCAGTCTTTGCAATCCTTGCACAGATGGCCTCATTACTCCCTTCCCCAAGGACACAATAAGCACCAACCAGCTAGCACTCCCTTCAGGACTCTGGGCCCCCACCCAGTAGATTTCCTCCTCATCTTAAGCATCTAAGATTCAATAACTCCAACCACTTCCTTTGTTCCCAAATCCTAGGCCACCTGACTCCTGCAGTTGCTACTCTATGAGACATTCGTGGGATTTTATTTTGTCTTTTCAGTTTCCCAATCAGCAATTCCTTATACCCAGTTAGCAATTTTTTGTACTAAAATATCTCTGTTAAAATTACTTGTTAGGTATGAATGCTCAATCCTAAGAAGATCCTGATGGATTATACCCATCGTGAGTCCTGCCTCTCCAAGCTAGGCT